ACTACTCTGCTACCCTGGTCTTAAGTCTCCATACTTTCCTATCAGAGGTCATGTCCTCGGTAAGGGTAAATCCTTCAAATCAGATCTCAAGCAGTCTACCCACTTCCTCCTTGGTCGTCCTCTCCTTCTGGCACCGTCGACTATAATCGACTCTACCCTCCTGACCGCATCCGACTTTTGTCTCCTAAGGACATGCCCAAACCACCGTAGCCTTCCCTCCCTCAATTTTTTAGATACATGCATCACCCCCAAGGACATCCTAATTGCAGAGTTTGGAGTCATTTCCCACAGAGTCTTACCACATGTCCATCGAAGCATTCTCATTTCTGCGACCTCCATCCTCCTTACGTAATCCTTCTTGATTGCCCAACATTTTGATCCATATATCAGCGCTGGTCTTATTGTAACTCTATAAAATTTTCCCTTAAGTTTTAGAGGCACCTTCTTGTCACACAAAACTCCTGTAGCTTCCCTCCACTTTAGTCATCCCACCTTTATACAGTGCGTTACATCATCATCTACACCCCCATCTTTATGTATCATAGACCCTAGATACTTGAAACAATCCTTAGAGGGGAGAACGTGTCCTTCGATGCATACGTCTACATCTTCATCGTTTTGGTTCCCACTAAAGTTTGAACATAAATACTCTGTCTTTTCAATATTGATCCTTAGACCTTTTTCTACCAAAGCTTTCTTCCAGTTATCCAGTCTACTATTCAGTTCAGTTTTTGTTTCAGCAACTAGGATAATGTCGTCAGCGAAAAGCATACACCATGGAACACCGTCTGGTGTCGCACAATAGATGTCGTCCATAATCAAGGCGAAGATGTAAGGGCTAAGAGCCGACCCCTGATGGTGTTCGATTTCTACTGGGAAAGCCTCTGTGTCCCCATATGTAGTAGATCGACAATACATATCACGAATCGCCCGGATATAAGTAGTTGGGATCCGTCTCGTTTCCAAGGTCTTCCAGATCGTATGGAGGGAACGCTATCATACGCCTTCTCAAGGTCAATGAACGCCATGTGAAGATCTCTATTTTTTCCCTATATTTCTCCATAAGCCATCGAAGTAGATGAATCACCTCCGTAGTAGATCTACCTGGCATAAAGCCAAATTGGTTTTCCGAAACCGTAGTAACCTATCTCAACCTAGCCTCTATCACCCTTTCCCATATCTTCATGGTATGATTGAGTAGTTTAATACCTCTATAATTACCATAACATTGGGGATCTCCTTTATTCTTATAGATTGGTATCACCGTAGACTCTCTCCACTCCTCTAGCATCTTGGCAGTCTCTAAAATAATATTAAAGATATTGGTCAACAACTTTACTCCCTCTTCTCCTAGGGCCAGTCACACAGTGATAGGAATTTGATCTGGACCAACAGATTTGTCCCTCCCCATCTTTCTAAGATACATTTTGACTTCCTCACTCCCAACCGTACAAGTAGGGCAGTCATTGGCCGTAGTATGATGATCGACTGACCCATCAACGGTACTATCTCTACAGGGAGAGGCACCGTCATTAAATAAGCCATAGAAGTAACTACTCTAAACCCTCTTTATATCATGATCTTTCACTAAAATAACACCATTGTTGTCCTTAAAAAACCTAATGCTACCTAGATCCTTTTTCTTATTCTCCCTGGATTTTGCAAGCCTTAAGATATCGTTTTGTCCTTCCATGGTATATACTCTCTTGTACATTTCCTCGTATGTCTTATCTTTTGCTTTAGCCACTGTTTTCTTGGCTTCCCGCTTTGCCTCCTTGTATCTTTGTTTAGCTCTCGATCTTTCTTCGTCGCCATTGCATTGTAGAAACTCCTTGAAGAATTTTTGCTTTGTCTTCATCTTAGTTTGGACTTTGTCGTTCCACCACCACAATTCTTTATATTCCTTGGCCTTCCCTGTCGATAACCCAAGGGTGTTTTTACCCACCTCTCTGATGGCATATGCCATATTTTTCCATAACATATCTGCATTTTTCGAGTATGTAGTTCCAAAACCTATGTGAGACAAAACCTTACTCCTAAAGTCATCAGCTTTCGCTCCATGCAAGTTCTTCCAAAGGATCCTAGGTTTACCTAGTTTAGCCCTCCTATGAGTGCTCTGCCCGTGGCGTACGCAGAACACCAAAACCAACAATCTGTGTTGTGATGTACATGCCTCATCAGGGAACACCTTACAGTCAATGTAAGCCCATTGATCCCGATTTTGAACTAGGATGTAGTCGATTTGGGTACAATGTCCCCCGCTATGGAACGTAATCAAGTTCACATCTCTATTGTAAAAGAAGGAGTTAGTGACCACCATATCGTGAGCAGTAGCAAATTCAAGCAACGTACGCCCCTCCTCGTTCCTACTACCAAAACTGAAACCCTCATGAACACCGCCATACCCTATCGATTGCACTACCTATATTGCCATTGAAGTCTCCCCCTATGAAAACTCTTTGGTCCTCCGGAATGCTCCTAAGTACATCATCTAACGAATCCCAGAAGCAACGTTTCTCCCCCTCACATAGGCCAACGTGTGGGGCGTACACCGAAAAGACATTCACCATTTCCTCTTCTATAATGACCTTAATCATCATGATCCTATCCTGGTATCTGCAAACTTCAACAACATTATCCTTGAGTCTAGAGGAAACCAAGATAGCCACCCCATTTCTAGCGTTATATACGCCTGAGTACCATAACTTGTACCCGTTACACTCTCTGGCGCGAGCCCCTTTCCACCTAGTCTCTTGAATACATGCAAAATCTATTTTCCTATTACTTAGTACGTCGGTCAGCTCAAACAGCCTAGCATTTAATATGCCTACATTCAACGTACAAACTCTAAGTCTAGTCTCATTGGCATCACTCTGTCGAGCCCGCCCCCTATACGCCCTATGGGATCTAAAAGAAGGACATGACCTCAAGTAATCATCTATATCCGAAGCTATGAGGAACTATGAAAAAGGAATCCAAAGAAGACAGAAGCTGACACCAAATAAAACGCTATAGAAATGAGGGTACTAAGAAGCTAGTTGGTTACTTAATAGGATTTTAATTTATAAAATACTATTGTAAAAGTAATTTGGTTAATAAAGATAATAAGTAAGTTTATTAACAATTATAAGGTAAATTACAAAGAACACTATAATACCCCTAAAAAGATTTTTAATTTAATATCAAGTAATATAATTATGATTATAGCATAACACGTTTAAATACCTGGCCGACCACTATATGTACCTGGCCGGCAAGTAGGAAGTAATTGCTATTTTTCGGAGGAATTATTTTCCGGCGAAGGTTCCGCTCCGGTAGGACACTTCACGCTTAACACCGATGGGGATTGCAACAAAAATTTTATGGGCCACCGCAGTAGGAGGGCTTTGCAAAAATATTGTGAATGAATGCAAAGAGCTTAATCTCAGATCTCAAATCTCTTCCGTCATTTGTGTACTTGAAATAGCTCAGAATTTGTTGTGCGGAATATATTGATGCTTTGTGAATCTGGGATTTTCCCCCCGAGATAACTACCCGAAAAAATCAAATGTTAAATAGGGGAAAAGAAATATAATCTAGAGAAAAGAAAATCTCTAGGGATAACTAAATAAAGAAAATAAGGAAAAATGAATTCCTGCTAAAATAGTTAATGCAAAACAAAACAAAACAACAGGGAAATGAAAACTGAAATTTAAAGAATCATATGAGAAAGAGATATAAATTGGCAGATCTTTGAAAGAAGCTATGGTACAGCTAAGAGCTACACAAAATGAACAGATCTTAGAACTCTCTAAAAGATGTGTAAAAGAAAAGATGAACCACCAAGACGAGGAACGGCCGTGAGAGATCAACACTACAGAGATCTGGTGTGAGTGAAGATACGTGCCGTTATGAACAGAAGATGTTCTTAAAGTTGCAACTTGCAACTGCTAGAGAAAGAAGAAGCAATAATGATGTATAAAATGGTTGTCCATTGTTCCCATATGTAATGGGGTAAGGGGGAGGTAAGATAGTAGGCTTCCCCCAACACCAGGTTGAGAGCAGCTTCCGTAGAAGACCTTTGAATTATGAAATACCCTCTGTGGGACTCGATCCCACGACCGTGTGACTTTACACACAACACAAACATATAAAAACCATTAAAAGAATTTAATTAAGAAATTAATATTTCAATTTAATTTGGTTTTATAAAAAATAAAAATCAATATATGTAAAATATATTGATAAAATACATTATATTTTAAAAACATTTAAATATTATTGTGATAAATAGTCAAAGTATTGTAAATTCCTAACATAAACATAAAAAGGTATAAAAAATATTTTGAGTAAACTATATGTTTAATACCCAAACTATTATTTTAATTTCATTTTGATACAGAAAATTTATTTTATTTTAAAATCATACTTAATGTTTAGTTTAAATTTAAATTTGGTACCCTATTGTTAAAAAATTAATAAAACTGTTGAGGTGTTGTTTTTTTAATTTTTTCAATGATGACATGACATTACCTTATGATGACACGTCAATATCACCGTTAAGTTTTTAACAACAGAGTATCAAAATAAAACTAAACTAAACATTAGGTATGATTTAAAAAAATAAAGTTTAGGTATCAAAACATAACAAAAAATAATAATTTAAATACTAAACATGTAATTTACCTAAATTTTGTTTTTAAAAAATAAAATTGATTGTGATGGCAAGCATTTAGAGGAGAATTTCCCTCCACTATATTTAGGGAAATCCATTTTCCAAAACAAATTGTCCGCACAATTCTCCCTCTCTTTTTTTCCTCACAAAGCTCAAAGGACAAAAAAGAAAAGAATCGAAACATTTTTGTTTGGTTTTGGGTTTCAATGGGTCCTCACCGTCTCTTCTTCTTCAATGGGGTTTGCGTTGTCCCTCCATTTTAGGACCCTTCAAATCTCTTCTTTATTGTCTCCGCCGTAGCATCTTCTTCGACGATTTCATCAGCAAAGATTTATTGTTGGAAGCGATGAATTGCTTTTCTTGTTTCTCGTCCCCAAAAAGCAAGAAGGAATCCAGCTTCAGAGGGGATCGCAGTCACAGATCTCCCGGCGAGTCCATCAAATCAAAACCACCTGGTACGTCTTTTTTTGTTTCATGATACGAAATTGTCCAATGATTAAAGAGAAACAAGGATAGGTTTAGACTTTAGAGTTGATATAATTCTACATGTTACATGCATTGCCATTGCCATTGCCCATTGGGTCATTTTTGCATGATTTATCTTTAGGGTCAACTGCATTTTAATACCTCAACTATTATTTTTATTTCGTTTTAGTCATTCAATTATATATATATATATTTTAAAATCATATTTAACATTACATTTCGGTTTCATTTTTATTATTCATCGTTAAAATATTAAAAAACTGCTTTTTTTAAAAAAAATGAATGGTGATGTGTCATTATCTTACAATAACACATTAACATCATCGTCAATATTTTAATATTGAGTAACAAAATGAAACTAAAACGTAATATTATGTATAATTTAGATGACTACTAAATTTTAATTATATTACTAAATTTTAATTTTAACTTCAAATATACCATTTTAGTAAATAATTTAGATGACTACTATGTCAATTTAGTAACTTATTATTATTTTAACTAATATATATATATATATATTAAATAGAAGTTAAATTAATTTAATTTATTAAAAATAATATATTTATAATATCGATATAAAATTAAGTGCAGAAGTTTTATATTTGCAAAACAAAACATAATCTGTAGGGCTGGAAACTGACATTTACTTATAAAAAAACCATAGAATTATGATTGAGACAATGCATATTTCATTTTCCAACGCCTTCTTACGGTCTTTCTTTTTAATACTCTAACTTTCAACTTTTTGACTGTTAATATTCATATTCATAGCATTCTTAGTTCTCGAATCAAGACCTCAAAGTATAATAACAACTCATTTACTATTAAGATCACTGGGTTCATGCACGGTCTTGATGTTGAGAAACATGCTATTTTAAGGATGAACACATGATTTTATGTTAAAAAATGATCTTATAAAATTTTAGGAGATGACGAATATATAAAATTTTAAGGGATAAAAATAAATTATTAATAAGAAAAAAGAAAAAAAATATAAAATATAAAAGAATTTGAAAATTTTAAAGAGGACCGCCCCCATCCGCTCCCCTCGATCCATCCCTCAACATGTTGACCCCGTTTCAAACCGGCTTGTCGTTCTTCTATGCTATTTCTATTTAGTTTATTTTGTGATAGGGTTTTTTGTTTGTGTTTTTACGTAATAAGATATAAATATTGTTTATGAATAATTGATTTTATTGAGTAAGAAAGATTTTTAAGAATAAATGTGTTGGTTTTTTTTTTGTGGACTAAGAACAAAAGAAAGAAGTGTTGGAGTCAAACAAAGGTGAAAATGAAAATGTAGAGGCTCAAGCATTTACATTCCGTGAGCTAGCTGCCGCCACCAAGAATTTCCGTCAAGAATCTGTGTTGGGTGAAGGTGGTTTCGGTAAAGTTTACAAGGGCACCCTTCAGTCTACTGCCCAGGTTACATCCTTTCTTTCTAAAATTTTTATTTTCCCTACCTAATAATCCTTCTTTTTATATATGATTTATTATTAACTTTATTGCCTTGATTGGCAAAATGGTTGAGATAATAGTTTTGAAAAAAATTATATAAAGGGTTGGAAAAATTATTTTTTCAATTAAGATGGAATGAATAATGTAGGGGAAGACAACTAGATTATTTGGTATCTTTGGAAAGATGTCTGAAATAGACAGTGTCTTTTGAGTTGCTATTCTATTGAGGTTGTCGTTCAGATTGCATGCAGTATGAGGAAGACATCGTGACTTCCAAGTGTCTTCCAAAAAACGTCAGGTTCATTTCACCTTAGTTGATAAAATAATTATTCTAGCATGAGCCATTCTTTTTTTTGGCTTAATTATAAAATAAGTGTCCAAACTATATCGTTTTTCACTAATAGGTGCTTACAATATTTTTTGAATGATTCTGGTGCTTAACGTTACTACTTTAGGTACCCGGGTCGTAACTGCCGTTAGTTTTTCCGTTAAATGATATATGTCACATTTTGGTAATTTTGAATTTTTTTAAATTAAAATTATTATATTATATTTATAAAAAAAACCCTTAGTTTCTCTTAAATTATAAAAAAACCCTCTCAAATTCAAAAAAATCCCAAATCCTAATCCTAACCCGTCGCCGTACTTTTCAGTCACGACCACCACCATCGACTTAGTTACTGCCATCCTCCTAGTTATACGCCACCTTAGTTGTTGCCGATTGACCTGTAGAATCATGTGGGATCGCGATTTTTATCATAGGGTATGTGGGTACAAAATGTCGATCAATCGCGATTTCACAGGAGTATTGATCGACGACGGTAGGTGAGCTCGGGTGGAACTTTGTCGACAGCAAAGGGCGGTGGCCGAAGTATGTTTTGAAGTTGAAATAAAGGTTTTTAAAGTTTTGGGCTATTCCGAAATTTTTGTGTGTGTTTTTTCTAAAAATATATTATTTTAATTTTTTATTTTACATAAAAATTTTAAAATTATCATAATGTGACATGTGTTTACGACTCGGACACCTAAAGTGGTAAAATTTGTAACGTTAGGTACCGAGATTGTTCAAAAAATACTGTAGGCACCTATTCGTAAAAAACGCTATAGTTTGATCACTTATTTTATAATTAAGCCTTCTCATTTCATACCATATTATAAAGAAAATTTGCCATTATTGATTATTTCATTGGTGAAAAGAATAAAATTCGTTTAACAAAACTATGTAGTTTATTTCTATTCATCCTTTGTTGGAATTTGGAGATAGGTGGTTGCTGTGAAACAACTTGACAGGAATTCAGTGCTAGGAAACAAAGAATTTCTTGCCGAGGTTGCCAGACTCAGTCGCTTACAGCATCCCAATCTGGTGAATCTCATTGGATACTGTGCTGATGGAGATCAAAGGCTTCTGGTTTATGAATTCATGCCCCAGGGCTCTTTAGAAGATCATCTCCTTGGTATAAACATCTCTCCATTTTCCTTAAAATATTTCTGCAAATCATTTGGCCATTTCATAGAATTTTCTCCTGAGCATGGTCTTGTTGAAGAGAACTGTAATGTTGCAGGCAAAATGGCTCAAGGAAAGCCATTAGAGTGGTTAACCAGAATGAAAATAGCATGTGGAGCAGCTCAAGGTCTAGAGTATTTGCATGATAAGACCAATCCTCCCATTATATACCGTGATCTCAAGTCCTCAAACGTCTTGTTGGATGAACAATTAAACCCGAAACTATCCGATATCGGGCTCGACAAGCTTGACCCTTCGACAGACAAGATGCCTATGCAATCAAGGGCAATGGGAACTTATGGTTATAGTGCACCAGAGTATTCGAGATCAGGTAGACTCACACCTATTGCAGATGTATACAGTTTTGGAGTTGTTCTATTGGAACTCATCACTGGAAGAAGAGTCATGGACACTACTAAACCTGTCGAAGAACAAAATTTAGTTGCTTGGGTAAGTGTATTTGGTTAGTCATGTTTTCCGATCTTTCTGTACAAAATTTAGATGCTAGTTCTATATTTTTGAAACAGGCACAACCGATCTTCCGGGAACCGAAACGGTTCACGGAAATGGCTGATCCTTTGCTTAAGAAGCAATTCCCCGAAAGGGACTTGAATCAAGCCGTTGGGATTGCAGCCATGTGTTTGCAGAACGAAGCTGCTGCCCGGCCTTTGATGAGTGATGTTGTTACAGCCTTGAGTTTTCTTTCCATGGCCAAAAGTGACAACTCTGATCCTGCCAATCTTCCTCCCACCATCTCATCTAAGCTGCCACTCCAGGAGCGTAGCGATGACGAACCGGACCATGACGACTGCGACAACGATGACGATGACGATCACAATAGTGGTAGCCGTAGCAGTAGCTGTAAAAGTAGAAGTATGAATAGCAACGGAGAAAGTTCTTGCTCAAGAGAAGAACAAAGCAACTATGAAGGAAATGCTTCTTCAAGACAAATGAACCAAAAGAAGTCACAGTCGTCGTTAAACCAGAACTACAACGAAGAATCCGAGGGTTCGAGTGTCTGTTCGAGAGATGAAGATAGAAGAAAATTGAGAAATTCGTCGGTCCAGAAAAGCAACAGACAAAAAGGAGGCAATGGAAGTATCGCAGGATGAAAGCCAACTACTCAATTATTAACCTCCACAACTAAATGTATACACAGATACATATATGAAGCAAACTATGGACTATCAACTAGTCCACAATCATTTATCCTACACAATAACTATATACATATATACATTTTGACTTGATGCATATATATATTTTACACACCATCAGGTTAAAAGTTTTTAAATTAAATATATGTAATGTTTAATTGTGACAGCGTCAAATACAAATATTTAATAATAATGTTTGAGTTTGCATAACAACATGGTTTGTCTAAATACATTATGACTTACATAGGAGTTTGTAAAATTTTATGGTCTATTAGTTTGCTAGTTCAATATGATAATGGAGTACGTTGGTAGTTATTTTTATATGGATGCAATGATTAATGCTAACGGTTTCATCTCTGTTAATTTGAGTTAAAAATTGTTGAATTGAATTATCAATAGCGGATTAGAAAGCTGAAAGACTTTCCGATTAGGGAACAACTTCCCTTTGGTTGGAGGAGCCAACCCTCTCTTATACCTGTCACAACGACTTTTTCGATAGGTGCGTGATTTTAGGAGTCGAAATTTAAAGAATTCATAAAGGTTTGAAAAAATGAAAATGTTAAGAATCCTCATCGACCTTTGAGATTAAGTAGGTCGAAAACTAGAAAAACGCATTTTTAAAGAATTTTAATAAAAAAACTTTAAAAAGATAGGATTTGCCTGCATTTTTAGAAATTCTGGATCTGGGAGTCGGTTACGCTTGAGGAATGATTAGTATCTCATAGCGCCTGGGGTCCGTACCTTTAATTACAAATGTCTCTAATAGTGAAAATCTAAGAATTTGAACTTAAATTTAATTAATAATTATTTTATTCTCAAAAATATTTTAACCTAAATTAATAAGAGTATATTTTAGGAGAAATCAACATTATTATTTATTTCTAATTCCTTAATTTGCATTAAGACAATTATTTCTTATTTTTAATTGAAATAATGAAATATTGTCAGCAAAATTAGGGAAATAATATAGTCGGGAAGAATTATGTTGGGATCTAGGCCATTTGCTACAGTGCACATGAAACTCGTCACGTGGGCTTGACGAGTTCCATAAAATATATATTAAAAAAATAAAAATCATCACACGGGTGTGACAAGTTCCGTACAATTTTGTTCCATGTCATATGACAAGTTGTATTTTTAATATAATTTATGAAACTCGTAACGTGGATGTGATGAGTTACATGAACAATGTAGCAAATGACCTAGATCCCAAAATAATTTTGAATGTACCTTATCTTGTGTCGGAACCGTCTTTCGGGTGGGCCCGAAATTGGGCTTCGACTTAGGAAAATGGATTAGGAGTCGCCACCGATCATTTATTTTAAACAAAATGGGTTGACCGTATACCTTATTTCTTACCTTACCTGCGTCATACCAAAGATGTGTCGGATTCGGGAGTTGGTTACCGTCAATGAAGGGTTAACACCCTTGAATCGCCCTTTCGGTACTACGTACTTTCCAGTTGTCTTAGGTTAAGAAAATTGAAAGTTAAATTAAAATGTAACATATGATCCAAATTATTTACCTCTGACGGATTTAAATCGTGCCCTTAAAAATTAAAAAATGTTAGAGGAAAAGTAAGGAATAAATGAATAAAATAAATAAACCCAAGTAAAAAGGAAGAAATAATTGATAAATAAATGTCTTAAAAATAGGAAGTAAAAAAATAAAAACAAAAAAAAAGATAATAAACGAATAAAACAAAATTAAACAAATAAACAATAAATAAAATAAATAAATAAATTAGAAAAACCAAGCAAAAATAAAAAATACAAAAATGAAAATACAAATACAAAAATTAAATAGAATAAAAAATAGTAATATAATAATAAAATATGAAAAACTAAAAATGATAATATATATATAACTATTAGGTAATAATAATAATAAATAGGAAAAGAAATAAAAATAAAAACATCACCCCATCGAAAATAAAAAAAAGGTTAAGGTTTGGTGAGCTAAAAAAGAAGGGGTGGGGCCTAAAGGGATGATAATTAAAAATGTTAGGTTAATAATATATATATATATAATATAATATGTATATAATAGTAATAATAATAAGGATAAAAGAGTAAAAAAATAGAAAATAAAAATAATATAATATAATATAATAATAATAAATTAAAAAAACCAAAAATAATAAGAAATATATACAATAAATAGAAAATATATACATATATACGTATGAACAAAGCAAATAAAAATAAAATAAAATAATAATAATAATAAAACTATTAAAAGGAAAAAAATAAGAAAATAAAATAATATATATATATATATATATAATATAGATAAAACAAAATAATAAGAAATATAATAAGAATAAAATAAATAAATAAATAAAAATAATATAAAAAGGATTAAATTAAAAGGGGAACAAAGGTAGGGGCGAATTTGAAAGGAATTGAGGGAATTAAAATTGATTTGGGAGGTAAAATGAAATTCCAGAAGAGATAGAGGGACCAGAACGTAGTTTACCCTATTTTAAAACCAAAACGCACGGGTCAGAGAATTATCGGGTCGGGTTGACGGGCCGGTCGGGTTGAAGTATATATATAACCCAAATTTTTTAACAAAGGCTCATTTCTCTCTTAAGCTCAAAACTGAGCCCCCCATCTCTCTTTTCCTCTCCAACCTCCTTCATTAACGAAGAACAAGGGTTCTGTTTCCCAGAAAAACTGTGGCTTTTTAAAAGAAAAATGGCCTCGGGAGGGTGGATCTAGAGAGATCTCTTCGAAAATCCCCTCCTCGGGTCCTCGGCCTTTTCTTTTTTTGGTTTTAAATCAAGAACAAAGGCAACCAAGGCAACATGCATGTATCAAGAACAACCGAAAAGGTAAAAATAATACCTTTCCTTTTATTTCCTCTCGAACTTGTTACAAATGCTTCAGAATTACTCTTTCTCTACTCGTATTTTTTGGTATTTTTTTGTGCGTAATACTTGTGTGATATTGTGTGTGTTTGTGTTCTATTTTACATGTGATTTATAGCCTCAGATTTGGCTATTTTTAGAGTCGAATTTGGACTCAACTTCTTCGGTTTTTGAGTGCTTGAGTGACTCTTGACTGTTTGTTGTTCATTGCCGAGGACCTTGGTTACGTGGGGCGAGGGAATCGACGGAAGTTTCGGGCAGTGTGGAGAGTCCTTGTTGAATGAGAGAACGGCGCCGTGGAGTAAAGGTTGAAACCCTAAAGTGGGGTCTACTATAGACCGTTGGATCTAGATGAGATCCAACGGTCATCGCTACTAGAGGCTGGGATGAGAGAAGGGAAAGCTAGGGTTTCAAACCCTAGCATGGTGGGTTACTGTATTGGGCTTGGCGTGCTCCTGGGCTTGGTCCACTGTTGGGCCGTTTTTTTATTTGTGTGTAACGGGTCTGTAAATAATAAAAAGAAAGGAGGATATGTAAATATATATATATATATATATATATATATATATATATATATATATAACATATAAATTATGTAATATATAGTTATTTATGTAGGGACGGAATATAGTGTCTACAACTTCCCCTCTTTGCTCATTGTCAACGATAATAAAGTGAAGATTAAAAGACACAAATTTCGTCCATATCGAATGTCCTCTGTCGTATAGTTGAAATCCGATATTGAAACTAGTTTGTCAAATTGAACTGAATATGAAATGACTCCCTCGTCGTGAGGTCAAGCTGGATTAGAAGCTTCTGAGCACGATATCCTTCATCGCGAAGTTGAAATCGAACTCAAAGCTCTTGGCGAGTGGCCTCTGAATCATCTTCTGGCTCAAGATACTTCGTCGTGAAGGTGAAACTTGACCGGAAGAATTTGGTGTTGTTGTGTTACAGATGACTCCTTCTTCGTGAAGTTAAGTCAATCTATTTGTAAAGTTGGAATTGTATAGGGCCCCTTCGTCGTGAAGTTGAGCCTGGGTATTGTATGTCCTTCGTCGTGAAGATAAAATCCAATGTAAGTTGTGTTGTTCCGAGGCCAATATCCTTCACTGTGAAGTTTAAATTGACTCTGAAACTGGAAAGTTTGTTGACAAATACTCATTCTTTGAGTTGGATATCCTTCGTCGTGAAGTTGAAATCCAATCTAGAGATGGATGATGCTTGTGTGCATGATTCCCTTCGTCATGAAGTTGAAACCGCGGGTGGCCCCTTCGTCATGAAGTTGAGCATGAAATCGGATATCCTTCGTCGTGAAGTTGAAATCTAAGTAAGTTGTATTGTTTCGAGTCAAATATCATCCGTTGTGAAGTTGAAATTCGCTCTGAAACTGGGAAGCCCCTTCGTCGTGAAGTTGAGCTTCAAATGGCACGATATCCTCTGTCGTGGAATTGAAATCATGGATGTATGGGTACGATATCCTCCGTCGTGGAGTTGAAATCGCGGATGGCCTCTTCATCGTGAAGTTGAGCCTTGACTTGAATATCCTTTGTCGTGAAGTTGAAATCCAAGTATTGTATGTTGTGGGTGGACACGATTCCCTTCACCGTGATGTTGAAACTGTCGATGACCGCTTTATTGTGAAGTTTGGCTTCGAGCTAGATATCCTTCATCGTGAAGTTAAAATCTACTCTTGAGTAAATTGTGTCATTTCGAGTCCAATCTCCTTCGCCGTGAAGTTGAAATTGGCTCTAGCTAAAACCTGTAAAGTGATGCATATATGCGATGGATGCAATGCTCTTAGGTATGCCTAAAATGCATATTCAACATATGTTATTTTGGGCTCTGAAGAGAAATTTCGATCTCCGGTTACATGTTTGGAATCTTGATTCTAGAATCTTGAAGTTCTGATCCCTGATCTTGAATTCTTCATGTTTAAATCTGACATGCACATTCTATTTTTTCTTGATTTGAGAAATGCTTCTCGACCATCTCAAGTATATACATGAGCCTTGATCGGCTTTCGGGTACATGTACTTTTCAATGAATCTTTGTACAGTAATATACGATTATCTTTTGCAGA